TTGGTATCTCTTTCATCTTCTTTGGACCCAGGAATCGTAGCACCGATTCTAATCGCAAAGGAGGCGGCCGTCGCTGCAAACCCAACGATGCGATATCACGCGACCGACGTTAACGTCGACGATAACGGACTCTCTTTCTCGTCGATGAGACGGATCCTCTATTCTCCTCGAGTGCCTACGATTCTCGTCGCTGGTAAACGAAATCGCAGAGTAGAACGGTCGCATGGTAGAAACGGTAGAAACAAAACGAAAGAGAAAAACCGGCGAGGCGATGGTATCGTACGAGGGGGACGCGCGATGCTAACGAGGCGCAATTGCTTCCAGGAGACACGATACGATACGAAGTCGCGGCACGGATATTCTTCGCGACCGTGCGAGCCGCTCGCCAGCATCCAGACTTTTCGATGCTCGCTTTCGACGAGCAGAATAAGATTCTTCGAAGAGGATGGGCTGCGGCGTTCGTTCTGCGAGCTGCGATCTGGCCGGTCGACTTGACTAATTTTCCGAAAACGATCCTCTCGGCTGACAGACACGGCGACAACGCCCAACACCATCGCCATCACGCTGTATCCTCGGCAAGAGCCACCATCTCTAATTTGCGTCCCGATCGAGTCGAGCTCTCGATTCTGGAAACCTTGATCCTCTGTCGACCCGGTAATCAATTATTTTTACGCACGATACGCGCGTCTACGATCTTCGCCAACTACCAGCACCATTTTTTCCAACGTTCCGCGCCACGACAGTGTTTTCTCCTCTTTTCTAAAGCTTCTTTCTTTTTTTCCCCCACCCCTTGGAAATTCAGAGATCGCCGAGACGGCGAACGGCATACGTTTGACGTCGCGAGCAACGGACACCGCAGTGGACGCTCTGGTTCGACATCTCGCTGGTAGAACCGAATCGTCGGCCAGGATGGCCAAACTTATGCTCGTCCTACCCATCTTGACGGGATCCTGCCCCCGGGAACTAGCCGACGATCTTTTCGCACCTATTATCGGTGACGTCGACCTCGAAAAAGTGATCGCGTCTGTGCGCTGACTCGATCGTTCGTTCCACCCTGTGTTCGTGTATCTTCCTCCCTGTCGTAAAAATCTAGTCACCGCGCCGCAACGTAATCTCCGTTATTTCCCTCCGTTCTTTCCTTCCCTTTTCTTTCCCCCTCTTTTTCCCCTTTTTCCCCGTCCTTCGCAAGCCACTGCGTAAAAAGCGTTTACCACGTGAAACGTTTTCACTTACTCGCTGCAAAAATTCGTCACGGAGATGCAACAAGGAGCCAACACTGGATGAAAGAATTGCGATCTGCATTTATTTTCTTTGGCACTTTATTCACGCAAATGTAACGATCTCACGTTCGGTGATATGTACAATCGCTTACAGTAATATGGCGCATCAAAGAGGATGGAAGAAAGGCAGAGTTCGCGAAACGGTACGCGTCAACGTTCGGCGAAAATCTGCGACGATTCGTTGAGCGTTTCGTTCGTTCGCTTCGAGCAATATTACGAAACGAGTAACGATAAATTATCGATACGCGTTTGTAAGTAAAATCGGAAAGATGTGGAGAAGATGCGGTTAGAAAATAAACTAGATATTACCACATAGCTGTGCTATAAATTGCAAAATCTTCACACGCACACAGGAACGCGCACGCACGCTCTATCGTTAGTAATAAATTACGATACTCACACACGGTACGACGCATATTTTTTTTTTAAGTCACGCTGTTGCGCGACATATAAATCTGTAAATTCGTTAATTATTCGTAGCTTCGTCCCGACTCGCGTTTTAACTCGCATTTCCATTTAACGTAGCACCAGAGCGAATAACGCGGCTTTTCCAACACGCTGCAGGCAGCAGGCACGTTCAACCTCGAAATGCTGTACGATCGATCGATCGCAGACGAAACTTTATCTTCACCTTACGAACGTTACCGTTGTTCTCATCGACGCAAACATATCCAAAGATATCCTATAGAATCTCTTCCTATCGCACCTTGAAGAGCGTGAAAATCGATAAAACTAATCGCGTCTCGAACGAACGATCGGTTGCCAATTATCATCGCGTACACGGATACGTTCAAATTACGTTAATCGCCGACTAGCAAACTATGTAATTCCGTGCCATTGCGATGGCATTATGGGCTAAGGGTTGTGTCGCTCGGCTCTAAGAGTCCTAACGCGATCAACCGAACTGCCGGCAACGACCTCTCAGAAATCATTCATCCATCGATTAACTTATTAAAGCGAAACGGACAAGCCCCTCTTCTCTTTTGTTATCTTATCCTCTTTTTTTTCCCCTCCTTCTAATCTTACAAACATCAATAAAACTTTTTTCTATACTTTCGATATCTTTCTTCCTCGGAATGTCTGTGTAACTGACTCAAAAGTTCGTTCGGTACATACCACAGTTTGTTCCCGTTAACGAGAAGAACTTCCGTTACCTGACAGCATATGGCAGCCATATTAAGCTGAGCGGTCAAATCGGTACGATCACGCGGATGAATGTATCGCGGTGGAAACAAAGACGGTGCTACTATCATCGCTACGTTGTGGATCGACATTTTATTCGACGCTTGATTTTCCACGATCGATTCGAAAAATTTAACCAACGCCTTCAGAGTACACCGGTTCTCTATCGGCAGCAATAGTACGAGCAAGTTCAATGCGTGCGACAACTCCTGGCGATCCTTCACTCCTGCGCATACCAGAGTAAAAAGAAAAACTTTTATTTAATAAAATATATGGCAAAAGAGAGAAAGTGACGCGTCGAAGCGCGCGCACGACGTTCTTCGAAATCTAGCGCATCGAATGAAACGAGAGCGCTAGTAGACCGAAAGTGGAAAACATCTTAAGCTTAACACGTTCGTAACTTACCGTGACTTTGGTAGAAAGCGTCGATAAGCTCTACGGTAAGTAGCGGTTGTGGCAGGTCACGCAACAACTTTTTCAAAACTGCCGACAAATCGTGGCACGACATGCATTTAAACAACTTGTCCATTTCTTTCGGCTTGCAATAAAAATCCATTTCCAACTGTCTGCACATCGATTCGACCTGAACGAAACAACGATAGCGTCATTTATTCCATACGTATGTACTTAGCATATCGATCTTCGTTGATAATTTCGATTTGTTGAAAATGTACTTTTTGCTTGTGTCCCCCAACGCGAAGAATACCTTCCTCTTTTATGCCTCGTCTTGTTAATTCGTTAAGAACCTTTTGAAATACCAGTGGAATATTACTCTCCTCGGACGATAATTGACTGTCTCGAAGTAAAAGAGTCGACAACGAAACCCCGAACAAGTTTCCAGCTACGAATATAACGGTGTTCAGTAATTATAACATCGAGTCTTACTTTTTGGTTAAGGAGTTTACCAGCATCGATGCGAACCTTTCGTCCGACGCTTATTCGGTTTCCGCTTTTTCAATGGTAGATTATATTTATCGAATACCGCGGTAAGTTCAAGCCACAGTAACGCTTGTAACCTGGTCAAATCTCGCTGCGTAAGCGTTTCTACTCCCAGCCGATTCTGTACATCGTCGGCCAAAGCAAGAGCTTCCGATTTCCAGATTTCCGAGTTTACTTCGTTCGTTCTACACATTTCTTCGAAACTCAAGTGACCGTGAGAGGATGTTCGATTCAACGGATGAGTAATCAAACGTTCGTCCACTGGTCTTGTTAATCCATACAGACTGCTATGACTTCGGGTTACCGTTGCGTGATTCCCCGAATTTCTTCTAAAATTTCATACGTAATCCAAATCACGTTATCAGTCGAGGCGATACGATACTTCGATTAAAATTTTGCGACCTAAAAACCTGGAAACACACCTCAACGTAGTATCCGTTGGAGTGTTCTCGATAGCGTCGCCTAAGTCCGTCGCATTTGCCACTTCGCTAGGATCGCTTCCGCTTCGTCTTTGTATACTGGGTTTCGACACGTGTATCGTTCCCAATCTCTGGTAGCTTGTCAGCTGAATTCCTTCTATAAATGAACGTAACGTGCCCTTGTGATTCTATGATTATGTAAAAAAGAATCGGGAAAAGTGTATCGTTGCAACGTCAAATACCTGAATCGTTAGCAACGTCTCCTCGTAACGAATATCCGGCCCATCCACTTGAAGAGACATGTCCGAAAGGAAACACCGATCCCGATGTTATCGCCGTGTCTACCGCCGACGATGGCGCACTCGGCGTTCTACGTACCGTCTCTTTGTATTTGCAATCGTTTGGTAATTGATGAAAAACCGATACAAAGTTTGGCACGGTAACAGTACTTAAAAAGTAAAATACGATTAAGACGTCGTGTGTACGACGTGACCACGAGCATGGAAAAGCCCGTAACAAACCAGTCTTACCTTGTATGATGGGCATCGTCAATGGTAACCGTTGCCAGCGACGGAGGCGAAGCATTCTCTGGCGTTACACCTGTTGCGGAATCTAAAGAATCGGGCGTGGCACTACGCGATCTCGTTCCAGTACTAGATGCCTAACGACGAACCCCCGACGAACAAAAAATGATCGATCTATCGCTGTTCCCTTTTACAATTTATAAATTTCTATATAATATACATTTTATAATTCGCACCTCTATATCTTTAAAGACATCTCTAATATCCGGTTTACGAACACGTTGTCGTTGATTAAAACGCTGTTTCACCGTATGATTGAGCGACTTAACGCGACGTCTCACTGCTTCAGCTTGTGCTCGCGATAACGGACGTAATGCTGCGCCCAACTCGTCCGGCGGTACTTCTCTTCCAGCCTTCCATGCTTCCGTCAACTGTCCTAAACCAGCTGTACGTAACCATTCAGCTTCCTCTTCGCCGTCTTTGAAAGCCAATTTAGATTCTTCGTTAATTGATAATTGTTACCGTCAATCATAAAGATGAACGGTAATAGAAAACTACGTACCATCGTAGTTACGTGGATATTCCTCTTCGAGGTAATCGTCCAACAGCTTGGTTTCCTCCATCATTTTTTGATATTCTTCCCAATACTCTAAAAGGTGGTTGTCACCTCCTATATACGTGGTTGTCTGTGACCTCTCCATAGTTTTTAAAGTTTTGTTACGTATGCTTCGAAGGATATCTACTTTTATTAATCTGCTATTTAAAAATTGTTCTCCCAGGTGTCTGAAAAAATAAGAAGACGTTTAGACTTTGACCATCGTACGATAATTTACAATGTTTCGAATCATAATAACCATAATCGTCGATAAATTTGTAAAGACGATCGTTCAATAACTTTATACGTCGATACGATACGTAATTTCGTTTACAACAGTTTGGATCGTGACATTTTTTTAAGAAGCTTATAATCTGCTTTTCAAAGTAGGACACAAATCAAATTAACATATACATTGCCTGGAGGAAGTATCGCTGACACTTTCAAACAATCCATGTTGAAAGAAAATGGCACGAAATACGAATAAACAAAAATTCAAATAGATTCTTACGTTATGCAAATTATACGTATTTGTCTGTCGAGATCCAGATAAGGGAAGCGTAAACATACGCATGTTCCATGAAAAGTGAAACTATGGACAAAGATTTCGAAAAATGTAAATGTTATTGTCTCTAACCTTTTTCTATGATGGAAAGTTTTGCGCGAAAGCACGCGTAGCAAGAGACTTATGAACGAAATACGTACGTTTGTGAGTAGATGTGATCCGTGAATGTCCTATCATTGCTTGCACGATCATCTTATTCCATAAATAAAGCCTAAATTGGGACAGTGGTTGACGTGGTTGCATGAATCCTCGAAAGAAAGCATACAAAGGAAGAAACAACTCATTAGCGTTTGATCGTGCTAAGAAATTTGTTTACAACTAAATAAGCAGTTCATGCATGAAGAGATTATTTGCTACTTCCAAGAACAATTACATTCGGTGTATGCCTTTGAATCACAACCATCTCGTTAATAAAATCCTACTCGACTCGTCACTCTGAACTCGACGTTAACGAGTCTATCTCGAAACATTAATCAACAAATTTTCGCGCCTCTGCATAATTCCCGCTTTTCCGAATTTAACTTACGTTGAAAATAGAAAACGCGAAAACGTGTTCTCACAACTTGACAACCTGTTGCTGACGCATACGATTCCCACTCGTATACTTACACACTGATTCACACCCACACCATTGCTGTTTTCGTGCTGACACCTGCGCCACCACCCATGCATCTAACCGTTCACGCCATCTGGTTTTCCGATACTTTAAACCATTGACTAAGTACAAGATAGACCTAATATTCGATGTGGTTCGTTTAGCTTTACTTATTATTTTTGTCGTCGAACATTTCGTTTGTTTATTTTATTAAAGTCACTATATATTCTCTTTTTTATGATAACTACTTACAGAAGTAACTCAGTTTATTACTTGGAACTAAAAGGACTTGGAATATAGAAGTAGACTAAAATCTCAAATTCAATTTAAGCTTGGTAAAATC